TGAAGACGTACCCTTTGTCACCCTGGGCAAGTCACTTATTTCCTATGTGTCTCAGTTCCTCATCTATAAAATGGGGACAATACTTCCTTTGTTCCACCCTTCGTCTTGTGTCTTTATCCTGTAAGCACCTTCTTTCTGTCTTAAAGCACATAGATAGGTAGGTAGATGTAATTATTAGGTGTCCATCACTGTGGTTTACAGATGCCATATACATAATTTAATTCAAACAGATCACACTGTCACTCTTCCATTGATTTGCTGCTGTCCATAAAAAGCTGTACTTCGGAGAATTTTATTCTAGCTGCCCATTAGTGAAATGTCTTTACTTGAAAAAGTTAAATTTTTTTAAAGTGAATATTCCTGCACATTTTTGAGAATTTACAGTAGAGGTAACATATTACTAAAATAATTTACTTTGATGTTCCCATGTTAAATTTGTATTGTGCAAATTCATCTCTAACCAAGTGGAACAGCTATGGTAATAAGTAGTCTGAAATTTAAAAAAATTCTAATAGAGTTAATTATCTGAACATTATTTCTGATTAGCTAACTGTTGTTCCCATTGAATGGGAAGATTGTTGCTATGGAATGTAGCTAGTTACATTATAAATCAGTTACTTTAGTTGAAGATGGATTTGAAACATTTCATCCTAACATATTTACAATTGCAGAATTGGTAACCGGTATGTACTGGGGAGGACGGGTTAGTCTGACAAACATTTATGATATTTCAAAATATATTTCCTAGGAAAATTCATCAGGATTAATCTAACACATCACAAAATTAATTTTGGTTGAAGAAAAAAACAGCATAGCAGCCTTATTCTATGCACTAGCCTCACTATAGTGGGACTAGCTGGCCTGGTCTGAAAATATGACCTCAAAGTCCCATTGCATCTAGCAGGTTAGTCCTGGTTGCTTTTATGGACCTATCACCTCTGGCCTCATGGATCTTCTGTAAATGGATATGTGGGTACAGCTAAACAACATTTTATGTTTATAAGACGCATGGGTTATCATGGGGGCGGGGGAGTAGAAAGACACATTCCAGTAACATCATGTCAGGCAGGTGGCTCTTTCCTTCCTTCACACTGAGATGCACCAGTGGAAATATTAAAATTCATACACCAAGCAAGGGGCTTCCACTGACACCATATTGAGCCTGCTGGACCTCCAGCCATATCACCATGACAAATCGAGTTTCACTATTTTACTGCAAAGTAACATTTACCATTCAACATTTTATTGTGATCACAGCTTGAGGCCTCAGTCAGGTAAGGGCTCCATTATGCTAAGCCCTGTAAAAATATATAATCAATGACAATCTGTGCCCCAATGAGCATTCAGTTAGAGGTGGTTGGAAAATGGGGACATTTTTCAGAAATGCCAGTGTCCATTGTGCTGTCAGGAGAGGAGGCAGTTTACACACTGCCCCATCTCATAATCATAGTAAATTCCAATAGTGTTGCAAATATGGGGCCTCAGATTCCACTTCGTTACACTGGTGTAAATTCCATGGAGTTGCACCAACATAAAAGCAGTGCAACTGAGTGGAGAATTAGGCCCACTGTATCCAATATTTACAGTACAGATTTAGTTAGTAAGGATGGTCTTGTGGTTAAGGCACTCAACTAGGATCCAGGAGATCAGGCTTCAACTCCTAGCTCTATAGAAGGGGGATCCCACAGTGCAGAAAGGAAGTGCACAAAAATTAATACAGCCTCATGCAGTATATTATATACACATATTCTACACACACACAGTACATATGTGGTGGATGATAACCACATGGTAAATTGCATAATTGCATGTATCAGGCACCTTTGACCACCTACATTAAAAAATAGTCACGATTAATTGCAGTTTTAATCACACTGTAAAATAACAATAGAATATCCATTTACATTTATTATACATATTTTGAATGTTTAATACATTTTCAAATATATTGATTTCAATTGCAACGCAGAATACAAAGTATACAGTGTTTACTTTATATTATTATTTTTATTACAAATATTTGCACTGTAAAAAAGATAAACAAAATAAATAGTATTTTTCAGTTCAGTTCATACAAGTCCACTCAGTCCTACTTCTTGTTCTGCCAATTGCTAAGACAAACAAGTTTGTTTACATTTGTGGGATATAATGCTGCCTACTTTTTTAGAATGTCACCTGAAAGTGAGAACAGGCATTTACATCGAACTGTTGTAGCCCAGGTTGCAAGGTATTTAGGTGCCAGATGTGCTAGACATTCCTATGCCCCTTCATGCTTCGACTTTGTAGGCTCTAAAGTTTTACATTGTTTTGGTTTTGAGTGCAGTTATTTAAAAAAAATAATTCTACATTTGTAAGCTGTACTTTCACGATAAAGAGATTGCACGACAGTACTTGAATGAGGTAAACTGAAAAATACTATTTCTTTTGTTTATCTTTTGACAGTGCAAATATTTGTAATCAAAACAATAATATAAAGTAAGCACTCTACACTTTGTATTGTGTTGTAATCCAAATAAATGTACTTGAAAATGTAGAAAAAAATCCAAAAATATTGGATTTAAATAAATAGGTATTCTATTATTGTGTAACAGTGCGATTAGAACTGTGATTAATCACAACTTTTTTTTAAATCTCATGATTAATTGCAATTATTTTTTAATGTTTGACAGCCCTGCTTTTCAACATTGCTCATGAATAATGCAGCCATTCCAAACTTCTGCCAATAAAACCTTCCCACCTCTGCCTCCCCAGCAATACTTAACAACATTACTATTACTAGGGCTGTGCTGACATCTCAGATTATTGGTTTGCACAAGGAAAGAAACAAAACCACCTGCTAATGCCAGTGGGAAACAATGGCATATTGATATTGTTTTCCAAACCAAAAGCCCCGTTTCTTTTTATGGGGAAATTGGCTAAAAATTAAAGCCCCAATGTCTAGTAAATGGAAAAGGAACAAACTGATAGAAAACACATTTCCCCCTGAGATGTTATTATAAATACCTAATGGAAGACAGACAGACGGATAGTATTTTAAGTATCCTTTTACCTAGAATGTACTCAGAGTTCGCTTATAATGAAGTCTCTCCTCCCCCAACACTTAAATTTCACCCTTGCTGAAAGCAGAAATCTTCCTTTTCTAAGCTGATAATACTATAAAGTTCTATTTCTATGGTTTCTCCTTTAATGTGTCGGGTAAGGAAGTCACTAGGTCATTTGTGCTGCCAGTAGTTGGCTTATCTCGTTGTCTGAGCCTGGCATGGTGGTTTTACAAAACCCTTTTTGGTAGCCCAGTGTACTCCCTTGAATGCTAGCTCCTCATTTTCAGTTTTCTAAAGCGACTTTGTAGCTCCCTTTCCAGCTACTGCGTAGCATAGAACCAAGTCTCCATTATAAACACTGCAGGAGCGCAAGTAAGGGGTTTTCAAGAGCTGAGAATTGTTGGTAATATCCTCTTAGCTGTGTCCTTTTCCATTAAAAAAAAAACTTGATTTTTTTTCACTCTCTTTTTAAACGGAGTTGACTGAAACTGGGATTTCGCCTTTTTTCACCTGCCTCCTCATCAGTGCTATCGGTAGTTTCTTAATCAACTGCTACTGTAAAGAAAAAAATTAAAAAGCAAAGCACAAATGTTTCAGTGGGTCTCAGGCAAAGAGGCTTTTTTATTTTGTTTGAGAGGAGGTTGTTCCTATTTTTCTATGAAGGAAAGGATGAAAAATGGTATTTAGAACCTGGAGGAATTTCTTTACCAGTTTACAACTTTTTTAATGATCGATTAGTTAGTTCACTCACCACTTGAATGTTGCAGAGCCCTCCGTCTAAAGACATTACTTCTAAGAATACACTGTAGATCTAATTACAGTTAAACAAGGGGGTAGTCAGGACCTATAGCATTGGCCAGAAAGAGCGAGTGAGGCTGGTCTATATTGATTCAAGGTGCGGCACAAAACGTTATGTTTTCATTTCCTTGTACGGTCAGGAAAGACACTGTCTTTCGCATGCTTTTGCTGCCATTCCCCCTAAACCGTGGATCTTTGCTTTTTAGCAAAAGTTGCTTATTAGCATAATTCCTGCGCTCTTCAATCCTGTTTCCCAGGCTCTCGAAGACTTCATGCCTCAGAACAACTGGATGAGTCATGAATACAAGAAGTATGGGTGTAAACTGAAGCTGTTTACACTTTCTTAGGCCTCCAGCTACTAAAATAGTAGCGATCGTCCGTATCACAGAATCCGTGTGAAGCTTCAGTTCAGCTTTTAAATCTCAGGAAATGTATAGGTCACGCACTTTAAAGAGTTAGCAACACATTTAAGAGGCATTCTACATCTTACAGGAAGCTAATATGTTAAGTGAATGAGACAGATCGTATTTCCTTTTATAATGACAATTTGCCTAATAGTGCCTTAGAAATCACCAGCAAGGCTTGCCGTTATGCGATAGGAACTACCTAACACCCGTGCTGTTCTTTGCACGGCTATACAGAAATTGGATTTAGCTCTGTCTCGTTACCTGGATCACCAAGAAATCAGGAAATAGCAGGTCTGCTTACACCCAGCGCCTTTTCCCTAGCCTTTTGCTCTCCTGCGAACCGCCCTCGCTAGGAATAAGGACACGCTGTGGGTTTGGGGAACTTTGGATGAAATCAGTTTTAACGCAGCCTTCTCTGACCTGCTCCTTTAGAAATGATGTTACAGCTTTGGAATTGGGATTCGGAGTGTGTGTGCCTTTCTACCAAAGTGTGGTGTTATGTTACATCCGCTTGAAAATTTAGCCTAAGATGCCGGCCAACTTCAGAAGCCTTCTTCATTGCTTGCCATGTAATACATGATATGTAGAGCCTCTGACTTCAGCCAAGAGATATTTGGAAACTCTGTCGGATCCAGTGTTGGGGGCTAACGTGTGTTTAGATCCGAAAGCGAATCAGAGGAGGCAGCGGAGGGCACGTCACCAGAAGGGGCCCTATAAATCCATCTCCATTGCTGCTTCGCCCTGGCAAATCGATTGCTTCGCATGTTGGCCTGCGCGCCCACATCTGCCCTCGTGTGAGACGCCTCCAGTGGCAGGTCCCCAAAGCTGATCGCTCCCACCAAGCGCTCTGACCCCAGCGGATTACAGAGGGTCCCGCGCAGGTTGCTGTCGGGAGGCGCTGGATGCTCTCGCACCAAGTTGGGATCGCTCTTACTCTGCACGTTCCTCTTGGATCTAATCTTTCAGCGTGACGCGATCCCTTTCTGGAGGAGGGAGTCCGGCGGCGGCGGCGGCGGCGGCTAGCTTACACATCTCCGCTCCAGCCTCTGCTTCTCCCGCAGGCTGCTCTGTCCCCGTCTCAGCTGTTTCTCGCGTGCATGCGAGAGTGCCCCGTTCCCCCTGGCCCAGCTGGCGTCCCGGGAGCCCTGATGTCTTCATTGGACTCCCCGCAGTTGTTGATGGGGTGTCTTGCTCAGATTTCCAGGCAGGAGCTCAACCGCAGCACCCAGAGCCAGTTCTCGCTGCCAGGCGGCGCTTCGTGCGGTGCAGGCTGCGGCTGCGGCTGCCGCTGAGCTGGGACTCGGCTGCAGGGCAAGGAGCGGCGAGAACCGGGCGCTGCCTCTGCTCTCCGCAGGGACCGCGCACCTGCGGCGGCGGGGGGAGGGCGCACGGAGCGGTGCCGGCGGCAGCAGCCCCTTCCCCTGATCCGGAATTGTGAACTTTCCCCCTGCCCCCCTTGGAGGATCCCCGAGCTGAGCCACATGCATCCCTTGGCGGCCGGCCGGGCTTCCTGGAGTTAATGTCCGTGCTGGGTCCGACGAGCCCATCTGAAAGGTAAGGTGACGTTTCTGCCCTTGGCGAGGCGCTGGGGGTGGCTGCAGGGAAGGGGGGGGCGGCAAAGGCTCTGGATCGCTGCCCTTGGCGAGGCGCTGGGGGTGGCTGCAGGGAAGGGGGGGCGGCAAAGGCTCTGGATCGCTGCCCTTGAGGGCACAGGACGCATCCTGAGCACCCACGGGAAATAAACAGGTTTAATGTTCTTCCCCTCGGATCCTGGGAAGTAACCAGAGAGGCCCGCCTAGGCCACCTGGGTCAATGCAAACATCTGCGCCGCTCCCTGCAGTCCTCGCACCTGGGCGCCCTGCCCGGGCCCGCAGCCAGCGCCGGGAGTTTAAAGCTCCCCTTGCCCTCGGGGAGGAATTTCTGCCCTTCCAGGCGTTTTCCAAGCAGTGAGGATTCTCCTGAACCCCCGAGCTGGGGCTGACACTGGGGGATGGAGACTCGGTGTCTCCCCAGCGCCGCTCGCCAGCCACGCCCCGTGCTGCAGCTCCGAGCACCTCCTGCCGCTGGCGTTTGTTCCCCGCCGGGCGCGGGTCCGCCAAACACGCTGCCTGGGCACGCGGTTGCTGGTGGCTGCGCGGCGCAGAAGCTGCGGCGGGAAGTTGAGGCACAAGGGCCCGAAGGCAGGAGCCGGCGAACCCGTTGCTGCCCTTGTCATCCTCGCCAGCCTGCAGCGTCTCTTCCCAGCCTGCCAGAGCCGTGCGCCCCGCTGGAGGGGCTGGTGTGGCCAGGAGGCTACGTGTTTACACCGGAGTAAGCGATCCTGGAGGGACTCAGCCACGGACCGGGCCCCAGCAATCAACGCCGTCTAAACTCCCCATCCTCCCATGCTGCTACCGGGACAGCAGCAGCAAACCGGGGGGCTCCGCAGCACCTCGCTAAAGGCCGCTGAGGTAGAACTAAAACGTGTGCAAATAAACCCTTCAAACAGGAATCGTTTCACGCCCTCACAAAGCAATCGTTAGGCTCCCCACCCCGCCAGGGTCTAAAATAGTGCACAGGCGGGAAAATAGCACGGGAAGAGTTTCCTTGCTGTGATTCATCCCACACTGGGAGGGATGTTTCCAGGGAGCTGACCGCTACCACCTCTGCTTGTTACATGATTCAATAGCCTGCTCATCGGAACTTCGCCAAAGCGTATTTGCAGAGGTCATTTTCTGCAGACAATGTACTAAGTCTGGAGCGGAACTTTTAAGAGCAAAACACAACTTTTGAAATCGCGGTATACGTGAAGAGGGGTGTTGAAGTGGCCACATGGTTTAGCACAGACAAGTATCACCTATGCCGGTTTGCATCCCAGGATGCCTAGTTGTCCTTTACAAATGATTTTTGCTACCCGCTGGATGGGGCTGAAACGTGGTGCAGAGTTTTCCCCCAGCAAGCCATGCGGGATCACGTTCACTCCTGTGGCTTTCCAAAGAGTAGCCTAAAAATACACATTTCCCACTCCAAACATCATGCTGGGCTACACAAACATAGTAACGTCTCAGTCCCGTACTAGGTGGGCACACCGAGCTATCGCAGTTCAAGCGGCCGGATTACACTGCCCTCTAGCGCCGGAAAGGTGTGTGTCCTAACACACACTAGCAATGAGCAGGTTACTAATCCACCACCGGCCCCAGCCCCATTTGTGCCTTTCCATTTGGGGAAACTCTTCAAACATTCCTCATCACTTGAACTCCCGGTTTAGGGAACCTGGAATCGCTTTCCTTGCTGAAATTTCTTCTCCGCGTTAGGATTATTTCAGGGGAGCTGATGATTGCTTTGAATTTCTGTTTTCTTCTTTCTTTTAAAAACAAACCGACAAGGAATAGCGCACTGAAGGATTTGTTTTGAAAAAGGCACGCAAAGAAAACGACACGGATTTTGCAAATGGTAGAGAAAATGCGAGTTGAACTTAGACCTTCAAGAATGGCTCTGTCCTGTAAAGCAAGCTCGACAGGAGATGCGGTTTGGTGCAGATGCCTCTATCTTTATTATCAGAGGGGTAGCCCTGTTAGTCTGAATCTGTAAAAAGCAACAGAGGGTCCTGCGGCACCTACTTGCGTCTGATGAAGTGAGCATGCACCCACGAAAGCTTATGCTCCAATACTTCTGTTAGTCTTAAAGGTGCCACAGGACCCTCTGTTGCTTGCTATCTTTATTGAAATTCTTTAATGTACAATGACGGGGCAATAACTGAACTTCAGGATGACGTTCTAGACCCACACTGAAGTCAACTGTAAATTTACCATATATTTCAAAGGGAGCAGGATAGAAGCCTGCAAAAGTCTCTATAAAACTTCCGCATTCTAGAGAACACGCAAAGAGCTGCCCAGGACAGACAGGGATTGGGGAGCCTTGCTCATGCCCTGAGGATGTCTGAGGCGGAGGAAGGATTCAGATAAGGTAGCCCAGTTCTGAACGGGAGATTGGGGCTAATGAGTTCATACGACCAGAGATGGCAGCTCTGGTATTGGAAGCAGAAAGAGGGATTCTACCTAATGGGGGGAGAGCGAATTGGAATTTTTCTTTGTTAAATATTCCCCATTCCAAACCCTGCCGTGCAAATCCTCGGAGTGCAGAATGCAAATCCATTTGTTAAAACCCCTCCCATCGCGCAGAAAGGAAAACACTCAAATGGGGCATTCTAATTGAGTCAGAAGGGAAATCAGTTGCAGTTACATGGGGGAGGGGGGTGAAAGCTTTAGGGACGCTGGTGTTTTAGGTGGTTCTTTGCTTTCAAATGTACCATGGCCCTGGAGCTGATAGATTTAACACAACGAATATAGTCCTTTATTACAGAAAGTGTGATCCTCTCATGACACGCTATCTGGATCCTACTCCTTCTCTGAATTACTCCCAAAATATTAAGGGAGGAAGGGCCTTGTTTAGGCTTTTTAAAGTTGTATGTGTTTTAATATATTTTTATGACAGCTGACAAATTATAAAGGGGCTTCAGGGAGCTACATTAATTTCTTATTTATATTACAATCAACATCCCCGGCTAGTAAGGGCTAAATCCAACTGTCTTTACTGAGGCAAAGTCTGACCGCAGAGGGGTCAAAGTAAGATTTGCCAGATCTGGCCCCACGTTAACGAAATCCGAATAAACCAGTTCCAGCGAGTTTCCTCTCCAAAGACAAAAATACAAACAGGCGAAAGCTAACATCTGCTAAACAGGGAGGATGGAAATACACGCATCTGCCCAGACCTAGGTGTTTGCGAAAAGCGGAGAACTGGTTGGAGTGGAGTGGATGTAAATAAAGCAACAACATATTTCTCTCACATCTCTGGGAGCAGCCCCCTGACACCCCTCTGGTGCTCATAACATTTTACTATCAAAAGCCTGAAAGTTGCCAAATCCCTTCTTTGATGTAAAAGCCAATGTGGTGGATTTAAATTACAACGCGACTGGTTTTATAAAACATACGCTTAAATCCAACCCGGATTCCCATTACGAGCCACGACGATTTGTATCTCCGAAAGAGTTCGACCTGGCCTCCACCTACTCCCCTTCTCGTGCGCGATTATCAATCGGAACGTTTCAGTGTCTGCTAGACTTAATCCCGCCGCTCCCCTGCTTTCTAATCTCCTCCACACCGCCAGGTACTGGGGGTTTGGCTTTGGGGACGGATCAAAGGACAGGGATTTAGCGAGCCCGCGGGTGTCTGCCCTGTCCATTGCAAGGAGGCAGCGTGTCAGACGTTCCTTCTCTGCTCGTGAGCCGGAATCGGTGGGATGGGGGCAGCGTCTCTCCAGGACCTGCTGCGTTTCGTAACGAGCCCCGGCCCCTCCCCAAACCCTTTGGGTTTATTAAAAGGCCCCAAGAGAGGCAAACAGCCCCAGCGTTTTCTGGGCAGACCCTCGGTTGAGCTCCAGAGCGACACGGGCGAGCAGAGGGTTGGGTTTGTGTGACCCTCCCCATAAGAATCAGATCCGCTGGCAGGGCCGGCTGCTGGGGGTGAGGGTAGGGCCCTGGCAGCCCCCCGGTCTGTGCACGGCTCGGTTATGGGATTAACGCAGCAGGCTGGGCTGGAGCGAACCTTTCCCCCGGGGGAGTTGATCATTTTCACTCCAGCATCTGCGCTTGATCGAAGGCTTCTGAGAGCCCCCCCGGGGCTCGGGAGCCCAGGCGCAGGCTCTGGCACTGGGGGAGCCCGGAGCGCAGCGCAGAGCTAACCTTGTGTCTCCTCTTCGCCAGGGGCCGGTGTCGGAAGGAAATCTAAGATGAAGTTATGGGATGTTGTGGCTGTCTGCGTGGTGCTGCTCAGCACGGTCTCCACATCCCCGCTGCCCGCCGGTAAGACGCCTCCCGAGGGGCCCCCTTCAGTGGTAGAGGGGCCTGAAGACGATCACTCCCCCATCAGCCTGCCGCCTCCCTATGCTGTGCAAAGTGACTGTAAGAAACGTTCCCCTTCATAGTCACCACTGTCTGTCTTACTAAACCCGCTTTCCAGTGTCTGACCCGGAGCGCGGGGAGCTCGCTGCGCGGAGCGCCCCATGGCTGTGTGACTGCAACTGGGGGGCGGGCGGGGGTTGGGGCATTTTAACTGAGGGGCAGTTGCTACACCTGCCCCCATCCCGTTTGCGTGGGTGTACCGAAGCGTTTGTTTAAAACCTGTTTTTCTATTTGTTGCTCCCCTGTGAAAGATCCATGCAAAGGAGGGGGAATTGCTGATCTGATCCCAAACAGGAAACACTTCTTGCCCCCGCTAATCCCTTTTCAGTTCTCAAAAAATCTCATTATGTATTGTTTGTATGACAGTAGCACCTAGAACCCTCAGACAAGATTGGGAGCCCATCCTACAAAGCACTGTACAAACAAGTAGGGCGGCTACTGACCTCATTTAATTCCCCCCATTTATTCCAAAATAAGATTGTCCACATCAGACTTACACTGAAATAAAAAAGGGTTTTAGGAAACTGATGTAGTTAAATCAGTGTAAGCCTGGCTGTAGACCAGCCCACAGTAAGAGACTGTTTACAATCTAAATTCTAGGTAATAATAAATAACAAAAGGTCTCAAAGAAAAGCATTTTCAGAAAGCAGTGTGATTTTTAAATACACACTGGTGCTCCTTTAAAGTTAGCATTAATATGACTCAATAAGCAGTGGCAACATACACAAGTTAATCATAGAAGTATTCAATTAACATGAAGGGCCTTGTCTTAAACCCATAAAAGCAAAGACCCAGAATTGAGACTGCCCACTTTGTCTTTAACTAATTCTCTTCTCTGCGTAGATACTGTAATTTATATGGTACAAGGATATAGCTCAGGGATCGGCAACCTTTGGCACACAGCCCATCGGGGAAATCCGCTGGTGGGCCGGGACGCTTTGTTTACTTGCAGCATCCGCAGGTTCAGCCAATTGCAGCTCCCACTGGCCACAGTTCACTGTTCCAGGCCAATGGGGGCTGCGGGAAGTGGCGTGGGCTGAGGGACGTGCTGGCTTTCCGCTTCTTCCTTCTCTAATCTTCTGTCTTCTTTCTCATTTTCCTCCCATTGGAATCTTTCCCAGGCCTCACTCTCCTCTCTTTTGAGCTGACCCTCTTACTGTTCCATGAATGACAGCATCCTGTCTCAGTCCCTCATCAGATGCAAGTTGACCAAAAGAACTCCCTCCCCAGTTTTCTTCTTCTTGCACAGATTGCTGAGGCTTTATGATGCTGTGATCTTCCTCTACATTGTGGTACATGGAAAGGAGGGTGTATGTGCAGTGGAAGATTCCACAAAACCTCAGGATGCTGGCATTTGTGCCAGTCTCCCCTACTCTGAGCTGCAGCTGTTTCAGTTCTGTAGGAAGAAAAAAGCATTAAGAAGAAAGTTGTACTAGTAACTTTACAACGATGACAAGTTTGTCAGTTCAGGGTGGTGAGATATCAGTGTTCCATTGTTCTGGGTCCTACAAATGAGGCCTAGAACTATTTTGTATAACACCAGCCCCTCTATTAAGACATTTAAAAAAAATATTATTCCACCTATGCCGTCCATTCCACAGCAAGCAGAGGAGACAGACAGGCAGCAGAAGCATTAATCACTTACCCACTAGGTCTAGTCTATTTCCAGTATGAGAATAACCAAACTTCTCATTGTTGTTTGGGTATCTTGTAGACTAAGGAGTGAGATGTCCATCATGTGGGCCTTGTGTTTCAGGTGGATCATGGCACGATGAGTGAGCAGCATCTTCCAGAAGTGTAGAGCCCAGTGTAGAGCCAAGCAGAGATGGACGAAGGGTCTGCTCCAGTATATCAGTTCCTATGTTTCTACTAGGGAAATTATCCGCAGAAACCTGAGCAATATGTTCTTGCACTGTTCAAACCTACAATGGAAATCACAAATAGATGGGCCTGGGTGAAAAGGGAAGATGAGCATTGCTACTCACCCTGCGGTTAAAGCTGGATAAGTGAGTCTCTCAAACATTTTTTGTGTTCTTTTCCCAAGACTGGTGAAATATCCATGTTCAGAGAAACTCCTGTATTGGTTACATCGGTGAACCTGATAGCAGGGGTTTGCTGAGCTGGTTGGCTATGTGCTGATATTCCAGCCTAATAGTTAAATACCTTGATTCACTTTATGACTGTTTCTGTTTTAAAAATGTGTGGCATCTGGATGCCATTCTGAAAACACCGGGCTTAATAAGCTAACAATATCCAAGATGTGTCACTGCACTTCTGCCCAGAGTGGTGCTTGGGTTCCACCATAATAAGAAAGGGTGTAGGCAGAACTCAAAGTACTATAACTGGCATTTGAGTCAGGGTCTGAATTTTGATAGCAGGGCCTGAGGGAGTCTGAGTCATGATGGGATGAACACCATTAGTGTGTAGGCAGAGGGCATGCTGGTGTATTTCCATTTCACTGAAAGCTATTTTCACCATTACAATAACAAAAAAAAAAGTTCACTAGAGGTTTTGCCAATCGCTATTGATTTTATTTGGAAGGTGCTCATACAAATACAATATCGAGAGAGAGAGATCCAAGACTCAGGTTCTTTTTAATGGGTTCCCCTTCCACAGTTATCTTCCTTAATCTGCTCTCATGACTTTGGTCCCATTCTCTTCCACACATCACTTAATGTGTGTGTGTGTGTGTGTGTGTGTGTGTGTTCCCTCTCTCACACACACGCATCCCAACACAAAAAATGGGTTGAACACTACCTGTAATGGGACTCAATGGCTTCTCCTCCTCTTTGTGGTTCTTCATCTTCCCTCTCCTCTCTGAAATAGCTCTCCAATATGCTGCCAGGAGCAATGGTTAGTCTGGTTCTGATTCAGCTCCCTAGAAGGAGGGGTACTTTGTCCAGCAGTGGCCTGATACATAGTTGGAGTTGTCAGCTCAGTTACACCAGGACTTTCATATTTTCATCTTTCCTCAATTCACTGCATCATTTTCTCCACAAGGTGCTCTGAGGTGCTGATAGTGCTCTGAGATCACAAGATTATGTAGCACCAAATTCAGATTGGCCTGAAAATTTCCCTTGCCCCAGATTATGAGCAAGGTATTGACCTCTCAATCTGACCAGATGTACTGTGATGACCCCTCCGTTTCAGATCAGTGGTCCTAGAGTAATGTGCACCAGCAGTCACAGGCTTCAGCTATATGATTAAAGTAGACACCGGCTTGCTCAATGTAGCCTGCACTAATTGCAGAGCATTTTAAATCAGCCCCCTGCTTCTTGATCATGTAACCAGCAGAGCCATATGGGATAGTTTGTAACGGGTGGGATAGAATTGCTGGAGGACATATACATATGGCACACGCAATACATAGGGCAATGCAGTGTGGGATATTTGGTTATAGCAACTGAGAGGAAGCTATCCTAGTCATATAGGCATGATCAAGGGTCCTATATGAGCAAGAGTGGCACACAATTAGCTTCTATAGATACTATGTACTGTGTGAACACAAAACACATTATAAATAGAACTATGCCAATAAGCGGATGCAAGATGTGGTCAAATGGTTATGTTTGAAAGCCTATCTATGAAAAGAAAACCTAGTGTTAGGCATATATATTTTGTAACTGGGTACCCCAACATGCTGTAACTGTAGGGTGAATGGGATCCCAAGTCACATAGGCCATTACCTACAATGTGATCACTGGCAGAGGGGGAGCACAGTGTAAGATCTAGCTGCATATTTAAAAAAAGAAAAAGAAGAAAAGAAACAGTGGTAGAAGCTTCTCTCTGTAAAGAGGCAGAAGATGTTCTTATAAATTGCAGTACCTGAGGCACAGTGAGATTGTTGAATAGTGATTTGATTTCAGGGGTTTGTCATGTGTGTTTCTTTTTAAAAGATAATTTAGTGTTAGGCCATTTAACATCTTTAGTTGGAGCATAGGCGCTGACTCCGTAGGTGCTCCAGGACTCAAGCACCTACTTGATAGGGGGTGCTCAGCACCTGCAGGGCTAGATTACTTTTTGTGGGCCCTGGCAGCCAGACTGTGACTCCACACCCCCACTCTGCCCTGAGGCCCCACCGCCGCTTGGCCTCTTCCCCCCCCTCAAGGCCCTGCCTGCCATTTGCATGGGGAAGAGGGGAGTACCCACCCGCAAAAACAAAAGTCAGTGCCTGTGAGCTGGAGTGTTTTTATTTTCTATATTAGAAATACAGAGGAAATGTAGAATAGCCAGGATATGATATTGGAATGCAAGCTCTTCAGGGTAAGACTTGTCTTTATATTTTGATGCTATATAGAGATGAACACATTGTTAGTGCTAAAAAATGATATGTTCTGATCTAAATATACTTTATTCTATATGCCACTTGTTAGACACGTACAATACCTAATACACCATCATTCCATTCTGTGTCAAATACAGTGTCTAATAAATACATTCCCATGGAAGGCGCTCAAAGAGTTAACATTAAAATGACCGAGTCCTTCAAGAGGAAATAAATATACAAGTATATATTTTTCTCCTTATTCATATTTTAAAAGTATATATTTACTTAAAGCATATTCAAGGGAAATTCTTGGAATTCAGCTGTTCAGGTGACCATGAACCAAAAGACGGGAAAGAAGTTATATGGCTACTACAGTGTGATCCTCAAATGGATGCAGCTTAAAATATTGTCTAAACTGTTCTGATCTCCATTAGGACTGCAGAGACTAGAATTCAGAAATAATAATCTCTGCTGGACCTGCTTAAAAAAGATGTAGAGTTGCACAGGAATCTCATAATTCTGAGATAATATCCTAATGGCAATCAGTAAGATCGTAATATTAAATAATGCAGTTATATGAATCCTCAGTTTTATCAGAAATTAAAATAGAGTGGGTTTCAAAATGTTTAGTGGTGGCAAAAACAGTTAATCCTTGACACTGGAAAGATATAACAGGACTAGAATGGATCATCTTAGATATAAAAGATGCATCTAATGAAAAAGCGATATATGG